CTGCTTCACTCCTGAGAAGCATTTCACATTTGGAAGCCTGGATAGGGCTGGAGCCAGTCTCTTAGCCACTACACAAGGTTTTATTCAGCCATGAATGAGAAAGCCAGAGTGAGAGTATGGACATGAGCTCCAGCCAGTTTCTGTCTGACAAAAAGAAAAGCAGTAATCTGAGGGAATCCACTCCCCAGGAACAGAGAAGCAGTCCCTTAGAGGAAACATCGCCTTACAGCTCGAACTAAGTCCTTCAAAGACCCTTTAAAGACCAAACCAAAACTGGGCAGTGGGAATACATCAGGCTATGGGAATAAGCATTAAGAAGGACAATGGCTCATGTGCCACCCAGGGAACAAGGCTTACATGAAGAGCCTCTTACTCTCGCAACAAGCACCCCAGGGAGGAAACAGGAAACATTGCTGTCCCACAAATACCCAGAATTCATTAGAAACTGAGAAAAAAAATTGTAGAACTGCAAGTGGCTTTCAGAGGCGAGGCAAACACTATAAAGTCAACTCCATCTATGACATGGAGAGTGTTTCCAGTCCTACAGTTGGGAGTCACTCTCTGAAGCAGACAGAGACCCCAGGACACTGGGTTTGTGTCCTTTTATGAGAACTTACAGCTAGCAGTCAAAGCCTCTTTTCCATTAAAAGAACCATTTGTCATTCTGAATGGAGAAATACCCTTTTCCTGCTAGCTCAGATTTAGCATAAAAGTGGCAATTGATTATCAGCATACAGCTCCGGTGAACCCACATTCAACAATTTTTGATAAATTTGATCACTCACCGTTGTCTCCAGAAGATGAAAAAATAACCTCTTAGAGAGAAGACAGCTTAGTATTAAAGAAGGGGTGTAACCCACTTCCAATGCAACAAGTACACATATCTGAAGCTTCTGCACAGGCAACCCACTGTATAACCTGGGACCAAAGTTAGCCCCAGGAATGATGGAAATAAGTGGAGACAGTGCTGTAGTTCCACAAAATAACTGTGACTCAGAAGAGGATTCAGCCACCCTGTGTTTGCAGTCATGGACGCAGGAGCAGCACCAGATGTCCAGGGACAGTCACTTACTTGCATATTAGCAAACAGGGAACTTGTGAAGTTCATATGCAGATCAATTACATATACTGCCTTTTGCTTGATTTGCTTTAGATCATAGGGAATCCCTGTTACTGGGGTGTGATATACTGATACGATGCAGAAGACCTTCTGCAAGGGAAACCCGAAGGCATGTTTTTGCTCAGGGACTCTGTGCAGGACGTCTCCCTGTTCTCTGGGAGCTTCAACTGCCTCAACAGATCCCTACACGCCCAAATCAAACAGCGGAACCACAACTTCACTATCAATACCCATGACCCTTGCGTGTTCCACTTCTCCACTGTCACTGGGCTTCTGGAGCATTATAAAGACCCCATTTCTTGCATGTGTTTTGAACCATTGCTCGCACACCAGACTGGCCTTGAACTCACAGAGATTTGCCTGCCTCTGCCTCCCGAGTGCTGGGATTAAAGGCCACCACCACCTGGCTATATGATAGCTCCTTAGTTACCCACTGACATTAGAACTCACTCACCACTTCCCCACCTCCCCACCTCCCCACCCCTCCACCCCCAGAGATTATTTTTCCTTAGTGTGAAGTCTGTGAATCCACATTTTTTTCTCCTGCCTTTTCTGACTCCACTGCACTGCATGGGTCAGACTCAACGGACTACACCGTGTGTGCGTGGACTGCCACAATCTCAGTGGCAACCTAGACCATTGCTAGGCCAACCACCGCATTTTCTTCATTCTTCTCACCTGCTCAGTAGCAGCAGTGGCTGTGGCTAGGCGACCAAAGCACTGCCACTTACCTGGGTGAGGGCTGGGGCATACTTTGTCCTCTCTGAGTCCTGCAGTAGCCCAAAGGCGGCAGCGGAACATCACCAGCACAGAGGCAGGAATATAATATTGACAAACTCTAGATATCTGTGTCTTTGTTTTTGTTTCTCTTTAGCTCCTCTAGCTATGAAAATACATCCAAGCAACTGTAAAGATAATTGAATACTATTTCATTGTCCCATATCTATAAATATTTACAGTTTTACTCACATTTTGTGCCCCACATTTTTTCCTTTTTTAGTATTTACTGTTTATTTTTGAGCACTCATTACTCACCTCTCCACCTGTGGTGCAGTTTTCTTGGGAAGTCCCTCACATCCTCACTTGTACACCTGGCCACACTTTTGTGCATTCTAGGGGTTTACCCTCATTGTGGTGCCATATGTCAGAGACTGGTCAAAAACACCTCTTGCCAGGGTAGGGGCATGGGGACTTAGAAATATAAGTAAAGAATATGAAGACGTGAAAAAAAAATAGAAACCATATAATAGTACTAGCAGGGCATTTCAATGAAAACTGAAACCGTTTGCATTTAATTTTCCATATGCTTTTATACCCTAATACAAAGGGGAGAAGAAGGCAACAAAAGACTTCTTTAACATGATACAAAGGACAACTCGAACAGTTAATTGCTTCAACACTTTGAGGCATCAAGTCATTAGCATTCTGTCGTTTAGGCAGTGAAGCCACCCTAGATCAAGAATTCTGAAGGCAGCCACTCCCCAGTTAACTTCCTATTATAAAAGAAAGAGCAGAAGTACGCTTGTGTATCTTGACCATCTATGAGGATGGATGGATCTACTTGTATGAGCCATCTTAATGTCAAGAGAACCAAGTAACCACATCCTGTGTCAGGATGTGTAGCTACACTTGTCAACCATTTTGAGAAACCTCCAAATTCTCTGACTTTAAGACAAGGTGGAAATAGGCTCACAATATCTTGAAGTAGAAACACACACACATCTTGGGAAAGGATCACGTGGCTGGAAGACACAACTTTAATCTGGAAAACACTTTTTGCTGGAAGTCTGTATAATGACATAAAAGAATGGTGCTTTTGCTCCTTGTCTTTTTGCCCTAGCCTTTTTAGAACATTTATTCCTTCACTGGCATTGGAATTTACTACCTCTTTGTTATTCTAGCATATACTGAAGACCAGCTGTGGCATCCAGCCTGTGGACTGATTAGTAGGTTCTTGGACTTTCTGTTCACTTATCTGTGAGTATAAGTAAAATGTTTCCATTTTTGTTAGAGATTATGGTGGTTAGTAAAGTAGTGGTTGTTGGTTCTCCTCCAAGATTCATGACTTCACCAGCACTGAGTAGTTAGCAGGGTTTCCAGTAACTGTCACAGTTTCTTTTTTGTTATGAATTTCTTAAGTCCATCTAAAGAGCTGTTGGTTACCTCAAAGGTATGCTTGCCACTACTACACTCAGGGTTTTTGTACCATGATGATCATTGATGTGGTTCGTAGGCATCCTAGCTGGATAAGGCTATTCATTGGCTTCCACTTTTGGATTCTTGAATGGTGCTTCTGTTACCATGAAAGCTATTCTTCAGAAAGGAGTTTTCTTTGTTTGGGTCAAGGATTCACTTTTTATTACCTGTTGTCCTAGAATCACTATATAGACCAGGTTGGTTGTGACCTCATAATTTCCTTTGCCCCTCTCTCCTTTGTGCAGGGATTAAAGTCTTATATTGGTGTAGGAAGTCCTTCTATCTATGTGTTGTTTTCATTGGTTAATAAAGGAACTGCTTTGGGCCTATAGCAGAGCTGTAGGGGAACAGAGCTAGGTGGGGAAAACTAAATGGCATGCTGGGAGAAAGGAGGCAGAGTCAGAGAGACGCTATGGAGCCCCCGCCAGAGTCAGACATGCTAGAACTTTGCTAGTAGGCCACAACCTCGTGGTGATACACATTTTAATAGAAATGGGTTAAATTAAGTTGTAAGAGTTAGCCAATAAGAAGTTAGATCTAATGGCCCAAGCAGTGATTTAATTAATACAATTTCTGTGTGGTTATTTCAGTTCTGGGCAGCTGGGACAAACAAACGGGCCCTCCTCCTACATTGTATAATCTTGTAAAATACACATAACTTTTTATTAACATGTCATGACAGCCTACTTGATTAGCACAAGTAGACATATGGATATTATTTCTATTGTTATTAAAGATGTCTATCCCACTGAATTGGAAACTATAATTGAAATATGTTTCCAGATCCACATAACCTATGAAATTTAAATAACATGAAATAAATATGTAAACGCAAGTAGCAATGAGACTGAAGCACTAATAAAATAGCCCACAAACAACACCACGACCAGACTGACAGGATTCTATTAGAACTTCAAAGAAGAACAGCAAAACTACATAAATACGTCAAATAAAAAGGAAGATTTCCTGTCTCTTAGTAGTAATTGATAATAAACCAGGTATTGATACATCCAAAAATAAATTATAGACTTTTGCACTAATATAAAAATGTCTATAATTAGTTCTCTCTCTCTCTCTCTCTCTCTCTCTCTCTTTCACACACACACACACACACACACACACACACACACACACACACATTCCTACCTCTCTGCTATTCTAGTCGACATTTCCAACGAATTGTTCATCTCCATTTATTTTTCTTGGGGCACACTGAGATTAACCACGGCCATATGTGAGTCTGTGGGTTTGAACCTATGTGTTGGCGCCTGGAGGATTTAGCAGAGGTCTACACCAAAGACAGTGAGTGATTCTTTTCCTCCAATCCATCCATGGCCAACATTTGACACAGTAAAGAGTGGGCCCTATGAGCCTTTCCTTTTCCTAGACTAATTGTGGTCTAGTGTGAGGTCAGACACCGGGATGCAGCCTCCTCCTAGATCCAGTTCTGGTCATGGCTGGCAGCAAGCATGTGGGGAGACTGTGGAGGGAGGATCCTGGGCAGCCTGACAGCTGGAGCTGTGGAAAACAGCCTGAGGTGTACGAGGACTGACCAGTCAAGACTGGGCGGGACACCCACACGGAAAAGGGCAGTTGCGAGGATGTGTCCCATTGGTTGGACGCAGGGGAATTCTGGAGGTTGGGAGGGGCTGGAGTAGTGACGTAAACGGAAGCTGGGGCATAATATGAGCCCGGCGAAGTTGGAAAGCAGTGTCAGCAGTACCAAAAGCCCATTCCCTGTCATTCCTCCGTGACCTGCAGCGTGGGAAATCGTATGGTTCATATCTGGATACGGAGGATACGGCACGGTGACGTGGAAACACGAAAACTCCCTGGACTGTAGTCGCGGCGGGGCGGCCTGGGAAAGTCTGCATCGCAGTGGCGGGAACCGCAGCCCTGAGGCCCTGGAACCTCCCAGGTCAGAGGAGCTGCGGGGCTGGGACACAGCAGGGATAGGACCAGAGATGCAATCATTTTCTCTGCTGTTGATAAGAAAACCGGCTCTGAGATTCTGCTGTGAATGTCTTCTTCCCTTGGTGTATTTTAGATCATATAGAATAAACTTGCAATTTTTCAATTGGTCTTCTGATTGCAAAATATTCTTGTAAAAATAATCTAATGGAGTATTTGAATTTATCTGTTGAGATTTGCAAGCACGGTTCTCTTTGATATGGTGGAAACCACAAAGCTGTTGAAGTTTACCATCATGCATACAAACCCGTGTTAGATCATTTCCCTATTTAAGAAAGTACTGGCACTCTTACCTGAAGACTTGGAGTCCCTGAGAGTTTTACATAACAGTCATTAAAGGAACGCCTGCAAATTTCATTGAGTCTGAAAGTATATATATTTCTTTTGCAAGTTCCACAGTATCCTTGTAAACATTAATTTGTAAAAGTAAGCTTTTGTCTACCATTAATTTTTCATCTGAGACATATGCACACTGGGATGTAAATACAGTATTCTGAAAAGTGTCTGCCTGGTCTTGTGGCTCAGGCTTTTAATCCCAACACTAAGTAGGCAGAGGCAGGTGGATCGCAGTCAGTTGGAGGCTGGCAAGGGGTACATAGCGACTTCAAGGGCAGCCAGCACTACATAGGAAAAACCTGTGTCCGGGGAAAACAGAAAAGGGAAAAGAAATATAAATACATTATATTATAGAATAATATTAGAAAGCATCCTTTGAATAATTCTGACAACCCATCTATATCAGGAAAATGTCTGCTCAAGAGTCTTGTCTCTTTGGTTCCGAGTAAAGCACTCTGTTCATGGACAAATGACCAAACTGTTTTTTTGGTCCTTGTGTTTGATGTGTTGAGACCTGAACTCACAGTATTGCTCTGTCTATCCTAAACTTATCATGTAGACCAGACTGAACTGGAAAACAGAGTTCCACCCACCTGTTTTTCCCAAATGCTAGGATTAAATATTTGCACTAACAGGGAAATTCAGACTGTTGTTTTTTCTTTTGTGGTCTGTTGACAGCCAGTGGTGTGACTGTGGACTTCTCCCAGGAGGAGTGCACCAGGACGGACTGGATGTTGCAGAATTGCAGCAGTATGGTTTCTGTAGCTGAGAATATTTTGTTTGCAGCCTTCCTTGCTCCTCCTCAGGATTTCTTGACAAATTAATCTGTAAGTGTGTGAGCTTTGTGTGAATGAGTCTCACATCCCACAGAAAAACATGAAATCCTCAGAGGATAAAAGACAATTTTCATGAAATGTTCTTGGTGTGGGATTATCCTCTGTATGCTAATTTTTATTACCATTGGTTAATAAAGATGCTGCTTCAGCCTATGGCAAGGCAGAATAAAGCCAGGCAGAAAATCCAAGCTGAAATATAGAGAGAAAGAGTAGGCAGAGTCAGAAAGATGCCATGTAGCTGCCAAAGGAGACAGATGCCAAAGCCAGAACCTTACTGGTAAGCCACAGCCTCATGGCGATACACAAGTTAATGGAAATGGGTTAATTTAAGATGTAAGAGTTAGTTAATAAGAAGCCCAAGCAGTGCTGTAATTAATAAAGTTTCTGTGTGGTTATTTGGGTCTGGGTGGCCAGGAAATGAACAAGCAGCCTCTGCTTACATGTTCCCTCTTCTTCCTGTATGTCCTTTTGTCAGGTGTAAGGTTTCATCGTTATTGGTTCATGATCAATTCAGGACCTCACTAGTTCATAATGTTTTCTTCCCAATCACTCAGTTCCGTTTCTTAAGTTTTTACTGAGTTGTGATTATAAGTGGGATTCAAGAGATTCTAACTAAATGTGCTTTCCAAATATTTTCAGTATTCTGACACTGCAGAACAATTGGGGAATCACTTGTGTAATCCTGTATTTAGTTTTCTCTTCATCTACTGGGCACAGTACTGTGTGATAAATACAAATACTTCCTGAACAATCTCTTTCTCATATGCAGGGCTCACTGATCACCCAGACCTGCTCACCTGTGCAGCAGAACAAAAGGCCTGGAAGGAGAGGAGACAGCAGCTAAGGATGCAGGTACAGTGGAGGGATTAGTGAAGGATATCAAGTGAATGTAGAAGTGGAACAGGATATCAATTTTGCCACTTCCTGTTTTACTAGAAATAATTTTGGACACTTCCACTGAGAAAATCTCTTCAGTTGTTGTAATGTTGGCATGAGAAGACTTTCTACAGAAGAATTGATAATGGAGTCAAATAAATTTTTATTTGACTATGTTTGTGAATGATGCTGTCTTTATTCACTCATCTCTGATTGTGTTTTTATAACATTAAATCATTCGCGTTTCTCTGATTTTAATACCTTATAAAATGATGAAAATTAAACCTCTCGGTTTATTTATTGTTTTAAGAATTTTTGAGGTTTGGCATTATAGCACATTCTCTGCATTTCAGTGTTTTTTTTTTGTTTGTTTGTTTGTTTTTTTGTTTTTGGTTTTTTGAGACAGGGTTTCTCTGTGGCTTTGGAGCCTGTCCTGGCACTAGCTCTTGTAGACCAGGCTGGTCTCGAACTCACAGAGATCCGCCTGCCTCTGCCTCCCGAGTGCTGGGATTAAAGGCGTGCGCCACCACCGCCCGGCTTATTTCAGTGTTTTTGTATCCATTCCTGAAAATAATGCCAACAAAATTTTAAGAAGAATCAGGAAGTACATTTACAGCCTGCTAAACTCCTATCCATGCTGTCTCCTATTGTCTGTTAGCAATTAGGATAAATATTTAGAATGCAGTAAGGACTTAGGCTGATTTAGTAAAGTACTGATTGTAGTTTCTCTAAGATCCATGCCTCTACTATCCCTGGGGAAATTGGCCAGGTTTCCAGTACCAAGCATGATTTCCCTATTGTTGAAAGGCTCTTAATCCAATTAGAAGCTGTTGGTCACCACCAAGGTATGCGTGTCACTCATGCACACTTAGGGCTATCGTGCAGCGCAGATCATTGTTGTGGGTCATAGGAGTCACAGATGGGTAGGACATCTGGTTGGCTACCTCCTGTGCTAAGTTGCATGTTGCCTTCTGGTACCTTGAAAGCTTGTCCCCAGGCAGAAAACTTTAATGTCAGTTCTATCTCACGTCCTTTAGGATTTGTTTCTGAAGTCTGTGGCTTCTTCAACCCTAGGCACTAGGAGTCAACCATGGGCAAAAGCTATACTCGTTAACTTTCGGAAGTCTCTTTGACAAATGTGACCAACAACTTCAAAACAGGCTTCTTAGACCTGGTGTTGGCCTATGTTAGAAAATCTATGCCTCTTGTGAGGAGAATCATGAGCGCTGTTGGGAAATTTTCATTTATACTCTATGTATATGTATTTTAGGGTTTTATTTTTTTTTTTTGCTGGATGGATAATAGTCAAGGAATAGATGGTTTCCTTATGATGTTTTAGACATGCTTACTGTTTCCTGTCCCTACTCCATAATTAAATTTTCACCCTCTTTTCCCATTTCCCCCTTTATATTGTTTGTTCCCTGTTACTCTGTCTGTACTATTCCCCTACAATGGTCTCCTTTTACTTTCAGGTTTCTGCACTCACTCCAGGTTGTGGACTCACATCTGAAAATTTGGAGCTAGGAATATCCTATGAGAGAGAACATGCATTGTCTGTGTTTCTGGGTCTGTTACCTGCAAAGGTCATCATTTTAAATCTCTTCACAGCTGAATCATATTCCATAGTGTATATTACCATACTTTCACTATCCATTTGCCAGTGGAAGGACACTTATGTTGTTTACATTTTATAGTTATTGTGAGTAGAGCAGCTGTGAACATGGCTGAGCACATATTTGTGGAGTAGGATATCGAGTTCTTTGAGCATACACCAAGGAATGAAACTGGGTCATGTGCTGAATTTATTTATCTTGAGGGTTTGTTTAGTTAATTGAGGATTCTCTGTTTTGATTTTTCAGTGTGGTTTGTTTTTGTTGTTCATGGCACTTTTATTTACTACTGTAGTAACAGGGGCGGTGGGGCTGCGTTCCCAGCACCCCGGCTGCCTGCTCGGCTAGCTTATGCCCGAAATAACAACACAAAAACTGTATTCATTTAAGCACTGCTTGGCCCTTTAGCTCTAGCCCTTACTGGCTAATTCTGATATCCCGATCAACCCATTTCTAATAAACTGTAGCACCGGTCTTACCGGGAAGATTCTAGCCTATGTCCATCCTGGGTCGGATCGTGTGCGTCTGCCTGGGAGCTGGGAGCATGACATCTCTCTGAGGCATCTGCTCCCAAGAGGAGAGCTGTGGAGTCTGAGCTCACTTCCTCTTCCTCCCAGCATTCTGTTCTGTTTACTCCACCTACCTATGTTCTAACCAATAAAATGGGCCAAGGCAGTTCCTTTATTAGCCAATGACCTTCCTCCATCATACTACAGCTTTGTTTTTATGCTATTGCAGGTTGGATTACTGGCAGGTAGTATTTTTCTTCCTTCTTTTTGAGTAGTGGTGTGCTGTCTTGCTCATTGATTTTTTTCCAGTTCTTCTATATCTATTTATTCTTAACATGAAATTTTTATTTCCCCTTTTTTCATGGATAATTCTGCTGAATCGCCTATGTGTGTTTTGCCTCTAATTTATTATCTACAGTGCCCCTTTAATGAAATTAATTGTTGATTGGTGAGTGTCTTAAAATGCACTTATGTCTCCATCAACTTTAAGAGAGTAGTTTTCTTTGTGCAGCAAGATGCTTGGTGGTGATTTTTTTTCAAGCTTCAAATTTCAAATGCTCTCCTGTCCTTCGGATCACTGACCTGACATCTGGTAGAATTCTGTTGCTTTTACAGTTTCATATGTTTTGACATTGTTCTTTAGCAGCTTTTAGTATTAATATTATCTCTTCCTTTTTGACTCCTTGACTTGAAAGGGAAGCAAGCCCTCTATTCATTGTTTCTGAAAGAGAAACTCAAGGAAGAGGAACAATAAGAATGGCTGATTCTCCAGTAAACATGTCACAGGTTAGTGGTCCTTTCTATTCTTTATCTAACATTCTTATACTTTGGTACATTGAAAGCTTTTAATTTTCTGCTCCTGATAATTTTTTTTAAGTTTTATTATGAACAATTCTGTAAAGAGACAAATAGCAAAAATCATACACTTAAACAGACCCAAAGATTATACAACTCAGTGTTCTTTTATATAGTTACAGTCATCAGAGGGAACAGAAGCTCTAGAGCCTCACGTGAGATTTTATATTTTCATAATCCAATATAGTTTTTATTTACTTATCCACCACCAAATGCCCCCAAAACCTTTGATAGAATTATAATTCTTCACTACATTGTGCTGGAGGGCCTAGCAGACCCATATGGGATTATATGTGTGTTATGTATATGGAATGATTCCTATTCCTGATTACTTTTTGTAACTGAATAAATAAAGTCAAACCTGTATCATCTGCCATAATTCAGCAGTTTCCCATGTGCTATCCAACTCTTTCTATGTATTGCAGATCAGTAACTATGTTAAGAGATTCCTTAAAATCCATTAATATTATGAGAATATTATATAATTCTGACTTTTGGACAGAATCACAAGGGTTTTGAGCCAATTTACTTAAATTTTCTGATTTATAGCATGCCTTTCCTAATTTATTTGCATAAGTATAGAATGTAGGGGCTCCAAATATTGGGGTTCCCTGTACAATGGGAGGAAGAATCCTGTTAGTCCTCTGTATAAATTTTATTCTTTTGCTTTTGGGATATTTGTTGTTAATCTCTCCCTAAAATTACAGCAAACTCTTTCTCAAGGTTCATTTTCTGCCCATAATTTGTTTGTCAATTTCATCATTTGTAAATGGTTCTATAATTTCTGCTGGGTCTATTCCTGCTAATTGATGAAGTCTCAGTGTTCCTTTAAGAATTAATTCAGAGAACTTTTTCAAATAAGTTTTGAAATTTCTACCCTGTTTAGGTGGTAAAAAAGATCTATTCTAATATAATATTTTCCCTCTGCACTAATATCCCTATAGGAAAATTCTTAGAGGACAAAATAACCAAAACACAGTCATAGTTTGGATCCAAATGATCTACATCTGCATTCTATAATTTCTTTTCTACCAAAGCCAATTCTTTTTCAGCTCCATCTAGTAATTCTTTTCAACTATTTAAGCTCTTGTCACCTCTAAGGTTTTAAATAAACTACTCAGTTTATCATTTTTTTACCCCAATAGTGGATTATAGATAGGGAATGTCTCCTGGTAATAATCTTTGAAAGTTATTAAATCTGCAATCAGTCTTTCCTAATTTGCGCCTTTTGGGCTCTAATTTTTTGTAGACCTATTTTATATCCTAAATAATTAATAGAAGCTCTTCTTTCTATTTGTTCAGAAGCAATTTGTAATCCCCAACAAGGCAAATTTTTCTTTACTTATTCAAACATTCTTTCTATTTCATCTACATTTGAGATAGCTAGTAAAATATTGTCTATATAATGGTAAACTATACATTGAGGAAATTGCTTATGTATCATTTCCAATGACGACATACAAAATATTGGTAAAGGATGGGGCTATTTGACATTCTGTATGGAAGAATCTTTCATTGATATCTCTTACAAGGCTGAGAATTATTTTAAGTAAGTGCCATGAAGGCAAATTTTTATTTTTTATGTAAAGGTACAGTGAAGAAACAATCTTTTAAATCAGTAACTATAAGAGGCCATCTTTTAGGCAACAGAGAAGGCAAAGGAATTCCAGACTGTAGAGAGCCCTTTGACTGAATCACCTTATTAAGAACTCTTAGACCTGTTACCATTCTCCATTTTTCCAGATTTCTTTTTAATAACAAATACAGGAGAATTCCAATGGCTGATTGATTCTTCAATATGCTGAGCATTTAGCTGCTCCTATACCAGCTGTTCCAAGGCCTAAAGTTTCTCTGTTGTTAAAGGTCATTGCTTAACCCATACAGGTCTGTCTGTCAATGATTTTAAAGGTAGGACTGTTGGTACTGTTGAAAGATCAACAGCTGTTGTACCCTGTTCTTGTGTAATCTGAATCATTGGTGACTTTTCTTTATATTATCTTGTAATATCTTTCCTAGAAACTAACATTAATTTATGGTTTGTTTCTAAGATTGGGGGAATGTTAATCTGAGTAATCCATTGCTGTAAAAAATAATATCCCCATAAATTTGTTGCTATATTAGCCACACATGGCTTGAGTTTTCCTTTGTCTTTCTTGCCCTGTACATTTCGCTC